TTAACTTGCAGCTGGAACAGAGTGAGTGAGGGGACATACTGAAGTGAGGATAGCGGGAGGCCAGATTCTGGGGGCCTGATTGGTCATGGAAAGTTTTGGATGTTGGTATCAGTGAAGGAAGACGTCACAGGCTAGTTTTTTAAGCAAGGAGTAATGTGATCCAGCTTAGTTTACAAGATTTCACCTAATGGTTGCATTAATAACAGATTGCTGGGGGACAAGGATAGGAAGGGAAGCTTTTGGTGTAATCCTGGCAAAACAGGTTGATGACACAGCGAGAAGTGGACAGATTCTGGATGTATTTTAAAAAAAGAATAGAGATAATGGTGCCCTGAAAGTGGCACTGACACAGCACTTTGTGAGAATTAGGCCAGATTCCTGGCGGATGCCTGAGAACCTAATGACAGCTCCATGGGAGTTAGCAAGTGTGTCCCTTGCTTTCAGCAGACACTTCCCTGTACTAGGGCAGCAAGGAAGGGGGGAAGGGCTATTTTTCAGCACCTACTGGCCCTATTATCCCAGACCCCTTCCTTGTTCAGGGCTATAGCTCTGGGTTTAATAGGAGGGAAGACAAAGACAACTGTAAGGTTTGGAGCCTGAACAACTAGAAGAAGAAAGTTGCCATTTACTGAGATGGTAAAGGCTGCAGATGGAGCAAGTTTTGGGAAGAAAATTTTGGTTTGAGATGATGCCTATTAGACATTCAAGGGGGAACATCAATAGGCAACTGGACATACAAGTTGAGAAGTCAAGGGAGAAGGGTCTGGGATATGAATTTGGGATTCATCAGCATGAGTTGTTATACCACATGTTATAAATGATATGTAGGTTTAATATGTAACATAATAACCAAAAATCATTCACAAAAATAATGTAATGAGAAAAATTTTTTTAATGTATCAGTACTCTTAATTCCTATGTTTCCTTTCCAATCTAGTTTTTGTTATTGTCATTGTTAACACATAGGAAGAAACATTCAAACCATATTTTAAAAGGTAAGGTAAAATAAGTCCATGCATTTATTACTCTACCTCCTGGTTCTAGCAATAACTATCATTGATACTTCTTTTGTATCTTTCTACAAATCTTTTATGAATATAGAAGTATATATATGTATGTTTGTATATATATTATATATTTGCTTTGTTTATAAATGAGGTCATACTTTAAGTACTGTTTGCAACTTCGTTTCTCTTTTTAAAAAGTTTGATAGATTTTGTTAAACCACAAATGTCGCACCAAACTATACTCTCACCAACAGAGAATATGATTGCTTTTTTCAGTGTCCTACCTAATACTGGGTGTGACCAAACTTTAATCATTGCCAATCTGGTAGTTGAAAAATGGTACTTTAAAAATTTACATATTTCTTCACAGATTTATTGATGTTTTATATTTCTTTTTCTATGAACTGCCTTTTCATGCCTTTTGCATATTTTCCTAGTTTTTAAAAATGGTTTCCAAGACTTCTTTATATCTAAGGAAATTAGTCTTTTGTCTGTGCCAAGCCTTTTTTCTAACAAATTATGTCTTGAGTAATAGCTGCAGTAGAAAAATAAAAAGCACAGGTGACATAAGAGGAGACTTTGGTTGCTGAAGACACTGGAGTCAGGCTTTTCCTCTCTATTTTTTTTTTTTAATTCTGAGTTTTTGTTTTTCATTTGAAGGTGTTCTTAATGCTATTAAATTCACAAATATGCCAATTTAAATACCCACTCCTATATCTAAAGCACACATTGCAAACATACAAATATCTATTCCCTCCGCTTGTCAATGCCCATTCAGATCATGGTTTGGAAATGGGGAGAGTAGGTTCCCTTTAAACCGTAAGTCACAATTGTTCTTTACAGTTAACTTTAACAAAATTCATACAAAATAGTAATTAGTAGTGATCTTCTTTACTTGTTAACTCACAAGGAAACACCTTCAAAACTGCATTTTAAGTTTTTATACTAAAATATAGAAAAACTGAATTACACAAATATTGAAAGTTAAAAATGCCTTAATATTTTATTCCTTGTACCACTACCCCAGTTTACAGGACAATATAACTGATGTAATGAAAACAAAAAGATAAAGCTACAACAGATGAAAGACTTCAGGAATATACATCTAAATGGCACTACATTGCATTAATTAATAGCTACACTTTTTGCAAACTGTGGCAGTGGCAGTCCTGCACAGAAGGGTTTCCTGTTTAAGCTGCAGTATCTTTTCTGACTATGGATGATCATTCCTTCTGTGGCAGATTTTTACCGTTCCTCTAATGCATTTAGGATGATTGTCTCAAAGTAACCTGCAGCTCTCCTGACAACTCCTCGCTCTCTCTCCTGCTAAAAACTGTAGCCCCTTTCTGCTGTTTTTAGAAACTTCTGCTACCTTATCCACTACTTCCTCCCTCAGATCCATAACCACCACCATAGGGACTACCTGAGCTACTTCCACCAAAACCACCCCCTTTCATTAATCCAAAATTTGATTGCTGTTGTCCACTATAATTTCCAGAATAATTATTGTTCCTGCCACCACCACAGTTACCACTGCCCGAGTTACTTCCTTCATTGTAACCATCATGTCTTCCACTACCATATCCACCACCTTGATTTCCATATCCTGGTCCACCACCACTGTAGCCCCCTCTATCACTAGAACCAGGACCGCCATCATAGGTGTCACTATCACCTCCAAATCCATTACATCCACCATCACCTCCTCCATAACTATCTCTGCTGCCACCACCTCCACCACCTTAGATAGCCCTTTTCTTCCACCAAAGTTTCTACTAAAGCCAAAATTACTTCCTCCACCTCCAAAGTTTCCTCCACCACCCGTAAAATTGCCAGATCCACCTCTATAAGCTCTTCGCAATTCAGCAGACCGCATCTCTCATCTAGAGTGGGCCTTTTTCACTTCACAGTTATGCCCATTAATGTTGTGGTATTTCCGAATTACAGTTTTATCAGCTGTAGCATGATCATCAAAAGTTACAAAAGCAAATCCTCTCTTTTTTCCATTCTGCTAGTCTTCCATAGCTTCTGTGATTGCAATCTTGCCATACTTTTTTAAGTCATCTCTCAAATTCTATTCCTCTATATCTTCTTGAATAACCACCAACAAAAATTTCCTTCACTGTTAGATGGGTAGCAGGCTTTGCAGAATCCTCCCTAGAAACAGCTCTCTGGTTCCACTGCATGCTCCTCAACCCTATGTGGTTGAGCATCCACCTCTTCAATACAAGAGTAAGTCATAAAACCAAAGCCCCTGGAGCGCCTTGTTTGGGGGTCTTTCATTACCACACAACCTGTGAGTGTGTCCCATTTCTCAAAATGTTCTCTTAAACTATCATCTTTGGTTTCAGAGTGAGGCCTCAATAAACAGTTTTCTCAACTGCTCTTGACCATACCCCCATGCCCATTTTCACCTTGTATAACCTTAGCTCCCTTCTCTTATTTTCAGTGTGCTTTGCCTGTGTGTGAAGAGGTGGGGAGGGTGGGTAATACATTTTTTAACTTATAGACTGATTAAAAATTATCTTTCAGACTTTCAGTTTTGGTTTTTGGTGGTATAAAGCCTTCTTTTTTGAGACAGAGTCTCGTCCTGTCACTCAGGCTGGAGTGCAGTGGTGTGTTATCAGCTCACTGCAACCTCCATCTTAGGTTCAAGCAATTCTCCTGCCTCAGCCTCCAAGTAGCTGGGATTACAGGCACCTGCCACCATGCCCATCTAATTTTTGTATTTTTAGTAGAGACGAGGTTTTACCATATTGGCAAGGCTGGTCTCAAATGCCTGACCTCAAGTAATCCACTTGCCTCAGCCTCCCAAAGTGCTGGGATTACAAGCATGAGACCGGACAAGCCTCTTAATCTTAACATAGCATAGGACCTCATAAAAGGTCTAAACTTGGTGCTGCTACATGGAATATATTTCCATAATTGTTTCTATAATGTAATATTTTTCATTATAATCAAGGGAAGAAATAAAGGAGAAAAGAAGCACTAGCTATATGCAAGATAATATGCAAAGCCTATGCAGTTTCATCTTTACAGCAATGTTGGGAGGTAGCTTTGGTTGATCTCATCTTATAAATGAAGACACAAACTCTAAGTGAAATTAAGAAACTCACCTGGCCGGGTGCGGTGGCTCATGCCTGTAATCCCAGCACTTTGGGAGGCCAAGGAGGGTGGTAGGTCAGTTCAAGACCAACCTAGCCAAGAGGGTGAAACCCCATCTGTACTAAAAATACAAAAATTAGCCAGGCATGGTGGCACCTGTAATCCCAGCTACTCAGGAGGCTGAGGCAGAGAATTGCTTGAACCTAGGAGGCGGAGGCTGCAGTAAGCTGAGATTGCACCACTGCATTCTAGCCTGGGTGACAGAGTGAGACTTTATCTCAAAANAAAAAAAAAAAAAAAAAAAAAAAAAAAAAAAAAAAAAAAAAAAAAAAAAAACAAAGAAAGAAAGAAAGAAAGAAATTCACCTAAGGTCACACAGTTAGAAATTAGTAAAGAGTTGGCCTATAACAGAATGTCTATATGCCTCTGTTGTATCTCAAAGTCCACAATGATTTTAGCAATTTTTTTCTCCAGGTTTGTGAACAGAAAAGACTCCAGGAAAAAAAATTCTGATTATACCAATATGTTTAGGACTGAACTGACAGATAAAAGAATACAGTAATTTATTCAGCTGTTAGTTTATATTAGACGATCAGTAGATACAAATCTAAGAATACATTAATACATTTAGTGCCTTTGGAGCAAATTATGTGACAAAAGAGAAAGAACACAAAGAAACTCATATGGAACTGTGAGGTTTGTGCATTATAGTGTTGCAGTCTAACTCTCTAGCTTGCCTGTGTTTTAATAATTATCCCAAGTGTTTTTCTTATGTGCTCTTGGGAGTGGTCTCTATTTGTGGCCCAGGAAGCCCAGCCCCTCCTGTGGATTGTGGCAGGATTTGAGGTGAGCGAGCAAGCATGGAAGCTGTTGGTTTCTTCTTTGCAGGCCTACAATGGCCATCATCAAGCATTGGAAGTCCTTCTGCAGTCGCTGGTGGACCTGGACATCAGGGATGAGAAAGGCCGCACTGCTCTGGATCTGGCTGCCTTTAAAGGACACACAGAATGTGTGGAAGCACTTATCAATCAGGGCGCATCCATCTTTGTGAAAGACAATGTAACCAAAAGAACCCCACTTCATGCCTCAGGTGGGTCTTATCAAGGACCTGGTTACTCTAGTTTTGTGGCTTGTTTGGTAAATTTTGATAGAAGGTAAGTAGCATCTTCTTTCATCCCAGGTTTTAAGATATCAATTTTCTTTCCACATCAGACATACTTCCCCACTTCCAAAATGCTTTTGACTTGCTGTCGTCTTGGAGATGATTGGTGTTCTCTGCTTCTGGTGCTCTGGCCTTAACTCAAAAGAGAGTTCAGAACCTTTGGCTAAAAGCTACCACAAAACATTCTAAACAAAGGACAAGGTGCAATGCAATCTTCAGAATAAGTTACATAGAACAAAACATATCAAAATCAAACAGCATTTTAAAGCATAAAACCAACAGTAGGGCTATTTCTTATAAGGAATCATAAGGCAGCAATCTAATCGGCACATCGTTCTGCCAGCCCAAATGATGTTTCTTAGCTTTTTTTCACATGGATGTAAAAGTCAAGACACTTTAAAAGTACACATACATATCAAAAAGAAAATCATTTGCCTTTTCTGGGATTTTTCTCCCATGCCCATGAAAAACTGTGTCAAGACACTTCTAGATACATATACAGACATAAAGGTAATATGGAAGAATCTAGCTCAGCTAAGGCATAGATACCTTTGGACTCAGGAAATCCAATGATATCAGCCATTGATTAGGGTATTAGGTAACATCTTATAAAGAGAAATAACTGTCTTACATGGTGAAATGGGTGTATTGAGGAAGCAAATAAGTGAAGACAGTTTTTCAAAAGATTTTATGATTCTTGTTACTTGGGAAAATTTTCTCAGAATGTTAGACCTTGTAGAACTATTTCCATCTACATCCCTGAATTTCCAAGCCACTGAAGAAAAACAATACAGAGATTGAAAAAACCTGATTGTTGTCTACTTCCCTGGAAATGATTACTGCTGGAAAAAGAAGTTAGCCATTAGGTTAGTAATGGTTGGCATGGTTGGATTATAAATTCTTATTTCTCATCCCATTTAGTCTTTTTCTCCCCAGCCATTCTTGCTATTATTATGAAATTCAAATGTTGTCCTCCTTTTTTAAAGACTAGTTGCCTATTATTAAGAGAAGCATCCGATTTTCATTATTATATAATTCCTCACAAGTACAAAGGGCCTACTTCGATTGTGAAAAATTGCCCTTATAAACAGGTAAGCAGTGAAGAACAATTATTGTCACTCTTTTGCTGGTGTGATATGGGTTGTGGTCCAATGAAGCCCCCTAGTGGTCAAGAAGACTCACTCAATTTGGATTTTCCTCCTGTCATTCATTAAAAAGAGACTGTCACTGGACGGTTCACAAAATGTCTACTGTGCAGAAGCTTTAGCCTGTGCTTTGAGGATCTGCTTACCCAAAACCTTTTTCAACTCTCTTGAGAGTTGATATTTTGAGTTTCAAATCCTCGAGGAGCAAAAGCAAGGATGAGTATTAGAGGTTTTGGCACAGTAGTTGCAGTGACAGTTGTAGTCTGAGTTGTGTGAAAAATGGTTGTCACTCATAGCCAGGGAGAGGCTGAGCTAGTCTGAGACAAAGCTGGATTTGACAGCAGAGCTAAAGATATTAGCATCTTTTTGCTAGAAGGCAATTTGGAAAAAAAAAATGTAGTGTGTAGGAAGCCAATGAGAATTTAAGTTTGGCTACAAACTTCAGGGGAATGTAAATTTACTTGAGGGGCTGGTAAATTTACATTCCCAGCACTTTGGAAGGCCGAGGTGGGTGGATCACCTGAGGTCAGGATTTTGAGACCAGCCTGGCCAACAAGGTGAAACCCCATCTCTAATAAAAATACAAAAATTAGCTGGGCATGGTAGCGCACATCTGCAGTCCCAGCTACTTGGGAGGCTGGGGCAGGAGAATCGCTTGCACCCAGGAGGCGGTGGTTGTAGTGAGCCGAGATTACGCCACTGCACTTCAGCTTGGGTAGCAGAGCGAGGCTCTGTCTTTAAAAAAAAAAAAAAAAAAAAAAACCTTATTTGAGGCCGATTACCTAAGTCTAGAAAGCTACTGTACAAAATAAACAAACAAAAAGCTCAACTCTGGAAACTGTTTTGCTGAAAGTGAGTGATATGAAGTTAGATAATTTTTATCTTCTTATGTTTAGCCAAAAATCAAATGTCACTTGAACTATTATGACTATTTGTAGTATTAAATTGCTACAGAAAGAGGAACCAGTCAAAATATGCTGTTTTTCCATCTTCATGAACCTGCCGTCCGTAGTATTTAGCTGTCAGTCCTTTGCTAGTCATTTCCTTTTAGCCATACATTAAACTTCTTGCCTATTTCACCAATGGTAGCAGATTTAGTGTAATTGTAAGAACAAAAAACATAGCAGCAGCAGCAACCACAGTAACCACGTATTACCTGTACTCCAATCCGCAGAATGTCCTCCCGAGATACATAAATGGACTGTTGCTGAGAATAAGCTGAATGCAATGGTCTACAAAATGTGTGCATTATTCCTGTAGTTCATTTGAGTGCTCTTGATGAATGCAGGCTAATTCTAATATGTACGTATTGTTCCTGAAAAAAATGTGTCATTGTTAAATTAGCATTCTCTCATGGCTGGCAAGCGAATAAAAGGTCTGCAAAATGCAGCTCTTAGGAGAGCCTTTATCAACCTCACATAGCGGCATCTATTCCCTTGTCTCTCCACATCCGTAACGCGGCAAATGCAATGCACTTCGCGGCCTTCTCATTGTTGGAGAGACGAGAGGTCACGTTTGGAATTTTAACCACAGTTGCTCTCATCTTACTCCCTAAGTGGGAAGCCATGCCTGTTGTAAGGCTTTGGTTTCCATTCAACAGCCTGGCGGAAAGCAGCTTACCCCGGGGTTATCGTCACAGGTTTGCTTCCCAGCCCCTGTGGGACCACAGCTTTCTAAAGCAGCCTGGTGTTGGTGCGCACAGGCGCTCCCTGTGCTCCCGCCCCAGCCGGCCCCACCCCGTGTGGGTGCCACATTTCCTGCCCACATGGGCCCCCACTCAGTCCGCTGGGCGAGGAGGGGCAGGGGAGACCTGGCCTGCCTAGGAAAGGGCTCCCAGGGAGCCCAGTCACACCTGGCCCAGGCACGAGGACCCCTGAGAAGGCAGAGAAAGCGCGAGCTGTGGTTTGGGGACCGCGGGGCAGAGGGACCATCACTCAGCAGTGAGCGGATGGAGCCTGCACACCCTACCAGCGTGAGGTTTTGTTTTCTGCCACGACTCATCATTCAGAGCTGCTGCAGTAATATCTACTTCAGAATGTAAAACGACCTGGGAGAAGAGGCAGCCCCAGCTCCCTACTCACTTCCCTTCCGCCCTCCCATCTCTCCTCCACTTCTCTCCTTCCTCCCCTTCCTCCTCCCCTCCCTCCTCCTCCATCCTGCTGCGGCTCCCCTCATCTCCTTCCACTCTCTTCACTTCCTTCTTCCTTCTTTTTAGAAGGGCTGGAGGCAGGGTGAACATGGGATGATTATATAGAATTGGGTGACTCAGAGGAACAAAAAGGGGAGCTGACTAGTGGGGAGAGATTATTAGTCCCATAACCGGAGATAAGAAAGGACCTCAAGTGTAAAAAAGCCCTCAACACAGGAACTAGAAAAGGAGGTGGGGATCAAAGCGCCCTTCTAGGGGGAATCCAGCGGCAACAATAGAAAACCACTGATTTGAAGTCCAAACAAATGTGGGCGCGGTAGCTCATGCCTGTAATCCCAGCACTTTGGGAGGCCAAGGAGGACGAATCGATTGGGCCCAGGAGTTCAAGACCATCCTAGGCAATACGGTGAAACCCCATCTCTACTAAAAATACAAAAATTAGCAGATGTGGTGGCGCATGCCTGTAATCCCAGCTACCCAGAAGGCTGAGGCAGAAGAATCGCTTGAACTCGGGAGGCAGAGGTTGCAGTGAGCCGAGATCATGCCATTTCACTCCAGCCAGCCTGAGCGACAGAGCATGATACCATCTCAGAATAAGTCACTTGGTGGCTCATGCCTGTAAGACCAGCGCTTTGGGAGGCTGAGGCAGGCAGATCACCTGAGGCTAGGAGTTTGAGACCAGTTTGGCAAACATGGTGAAACCCTGTCTCTACTAAAAATGCAAAAATTAACTGGACATGGTGGTGCATGCCTGTAATCCTAGCTACTCTGCAGGCCAAGGCAGGAGAATCGCTTGATCCCAGGAGATGGAGGTTGCAGTGAGATGATATCACACCACTGCACTCCAGCCTGGGTGACAGAGGGAGACTCCATCTCAATAAATAAATAAATAAAATCACTTGGTAGAGATATGTGTAGTGTTGTTCCATTAAAAGAATGTCCACTATTTTCTTTTTCAGTAATTAATGGTCACACCCTGTGTTTACGGCTGTTACTAGAAATTGCAGACAACCCGGAGGTGGTGGATGTGAAAGATGCCAAAGGACAGTAAGTGCACTCACACGTGGCCTGGGGCTGACATTTCAATCACAACAGCTACTGGGTTGGTTTGTTAGATTGTTACAAGGGCTGACTGCAGAACTGGGAAGTTGGGGGAATGTATTTGGGCAAGTGCCCTGGACTAATGAGGAGGCTTTATATTACAGTGCATATATCCAAGAAAAGCATGAAGGGGTGGGTGTGTGCATGTCTTGATGAAAAGGATCACCTTTTTAAGGGCTGTGGCCATGTTTCCTGGCTCTTATTTATGTTCCCTCTTTCCACCCATTTTTATTCTCTTCTGAAACTACTACACCATTGCCATTTTCTAATTAATAAGTAAGACAGACCTCATGAGGTTATCTCTATTATTAAAATTCTTCAGATGTCTTTTCTTCCTCAAGTTTGTTTTTTTGAAGTAATTTCCTTCTGTTGGCTTATTCCCTGCCTAATCTTCTCTTATAAATAGGAAATGCAGAGCAAAAAGTCAGCAGTGACTAGCCCCACGCATGTGAATTAGTGTCATAGTCAGAATCTCACCTTCCTCTCACATCACAACACTCTGTTCTTTCCCTAAGACTTGTCAGACTTTTCTTTAGGGAAAGAAGCTTTGTTTAAATGAAATCTTTAGCAGAAGTCCAACACAGAATGCTACAAAGTAGAGCTGCTCTGATGGAAGCAAGAGAGGCTTCTACATACACATACTCTCTGCCTTTGATATCTAGTGAATGCTACATAGGTCTGAAAATGGTGAGATTAACATGAATATATTGAAAAGGAAGCTTCCCTTGCCTCATCCCTAGGGATCATTCCACCAGCAACATTCCATGTGGCCATCAGAGCAGAGGTGGATAGCTTGTTCTGCATGGCATATAGCAAATTGGGGATACTCAGAAAATGTTAAGGAATTGTCAAGATGAGAGAGGAAGAGAATGAGAGAGAAAAAGAGAATGTCCTCCCACTGGTAGTGATGAATATTTTTTTAATCTCCTTTTTTAAAAGCCTACTTTATCTCTCTGCCTAGAACACCACTGATGCTTGCGGTCGCATATGGACATATTGATGCTGTTTCGTTGTTACTTGAAAAGGATGCCAACATAGACACTGTTGACATCCTAGGATGCACAGCTTTACACAGAGGGGTATGTACATCTTTCTCAGCTTTAATCAAGCAATTTTTAAATGAGCTTGTTTTCTTTCTTTTCATTCTGTGAATTTTTAGCAAAAAGGTTGTTTCCTAATATAACCAATTAACCTTATTCAGTCAAAAAGAAATTATAAAATCCTTCCAAAATAGTGGAAGATTTTGCTCTTAAGATTTTATGTTAGATTGTGATAATAGATGCATGATCTCCTACTGTTGGTGAAATTGGTTCTGCTTTCTGACTACAAAATACATGTGTATTATAGAAAATTTGCAAAATATTTTTTTAAAGCCCAGAGAAGAAAATCACAATCACCAGTAATCATACCTCCTGGAGATAACCACTTTCTGGTGTATATTATCTCCAATCTTTTTTTTATATATAGATTCATTTTAAATTTTAAAAAGAGAGAATATTGAAGATATTATTTGGAATCTGCTTTTTTTCTCTTAGTCTATCAAGGACCTTTTTTCATGTCACTTTCTTCTGCATTATGATTTTTAATGTCTCATTGTGTTCAGGTTCCATAGTTTATTCCAATGATTACCTGGTTTTAAGTAGTTATGCTATTTCTAATTGTTTGTCATTACAAATAATGCCAAAGTATGTCTCCTGTGCACAATTATTTGCACACATTTGCTGAAGTGTTTTTTGTTTTATTTTTTTTTTTGTTTTGGTCTCACTCTTATCACCCAGGCCAGAGTACAGCTCACTGCAACCTTGACCTCCCAGGCTCAAGCAATCCTCCTACTTCAGCCTTACCCCAGTAACTGGGACCACAGGTGCATGCCAGCATGCCCAGCTAATGTTTGTATTTTCTGTAGAGATGAGGTTTTACCATGTTGCCAGGTGGTTCTCGAACTGCTGGGCTCAAGTGATCCTCCTGCCTCCGCCTCCCAAAGTGCTGGGATTGAGGCTTGAGCCACTTGCATCCTCTGGACTCTTTTTTAAAGCATGCCAAATAAACTAAGTGAATACAACAGAAATCATAAAATTGCTATTTTGGGCTGGTACCAAGCACAGTGGTAAATGAAGACAAGAAAAACTCTATGTGATCATTGTCACAATCATAGTTTTTATTTCTTGGGTGCTTCCTGTGGGCTGTACAACAGGCTGAGAGCCTTTGCATCTATTATCTCAGTCCTCACAACACCCTGGGAGGTGTTATTACTATTGTTATATACAGGTGAATACAGTGAGGCATGGAGAGGCAAACCGACCTGTCACAGGGGAGCCAAGATTTCACTTACACCTTCCTGATTCTAAAACTGATGTTTACCGCTATATCATTATATCTATCATGGTTGTTGGGAGAGGCAAGAAATGTTTGGAAAATGCTGATGTTCACAGATCTTTCTGTTACAAATTTTGCTGAGGTTGTCCTGTCTTCTGCCCTTGAAATAGGGCAGAGCCTGCCTGCCTTAAAGACCCAGGCATCTGTCCGCTTGATCTAAGCCCAGCCTCACTGAGCCAATTGCTTTGCTTTCTGAGTCTTCTGAGGTTTGTTTTGTGTTTTAATTGCAATGTATCAGATTATGACAGGACACGAGGAATGTGTGCAAATGCTGCTGGAACAAGAAGTGTCAATTCTTTGTAAAGATTCCAGAGGGAGGACACCCTTGCACTATGCGGCTGCTCGTGGCCACGCCACGTGGCTGAGTGAGCTTCTCCAAATGGCTCTTTCTGAGGAGGACTGTTGTTTCAAAGATAACCAAGGCTACACGCCACTGCACTGGGCTTGTTACAATGGTAAGTTGCTTATCATTTGACTGATTCCATTAAACTTCCTACCCCATGACCACTGTGAGCTCAGGGGAGGCGAGAGCCTTGTATAACTCTGCAAATCACGGTTTCTAATCTTTCTGCACCCAAGATACCTTTTTTGCATATTTTGTTTGTTTGTTTTCAATGATTCTCACCCCTCCATAGCTGCTGCAATGCCTTAATTGACTAAAGTTCACTTTCCCCTTTTAGTTAATCATTAACACATAACTCGTAATCAGAACTGATAAGCTTAAAAGACCAGTTTTATTCAGAGTTTCTGATCTATGTAATATAACCAGGGATCCCACAAGGAATTAAAATAATAAGACTAAAACCAAATATATATATATATATATGTGATTTAATAACCTGTCACAACTGATTACTAATAGATGCATGATTCATCTTTTGGTATTTCTTTTTTATGTTTCATATTCCCCATTAAGTTTGTCATACTTACTATTTGGGAGATTTTAAAATTTGTATTTCACTTATTTTAATTTAAAAATTTATGCTAATTATACCAATTCCAAAGTACTAAAGTATCTGAGGTAAAATCTTTAATATTTCCAAACCTACTTTCTAATGTAATTCTGTGTGCATCTTTCATAATTTTTCCTTTGAGATATAAATAATTACAAATAAATGTGTATCTGTTTTTTGAAACTGGATAACAACAACCATTCTATAACTGTTTTTGTTCGTGTTTAATTAAAATTATATTGCAGACATTCTTACAAATCAATATGTGTCAATATGGATTGATCTTGTAATAGTTGTATATTACTTCATATCAATATGTATACCAGCATTTATTATTTATTCAACCAGGTTTCTGTGGATTGACATTCAGACTGGTTTTTTTCCTATTGCGAACAATGTATCAATGTGTGTGTCCATATTATGGTACCACAAATTCTGTCAGATAAGTTTCCAGAAATAAAATTATTGAGTAAGGGAGTTTGTATATTTTTTAATTTTAATAAATTATACCATATTATTTTCCAAAAAGGATATTAAAATTTATTATTTTACCGAGCATTTGTATAAAAGTTAGTGTTTTTCCACACGCTTCCCAACCCAGAATAACACCTTTTAAAATTTTTGTCAATTTGAAGGGGCAAAAAAAGGGTATCTTGTTGTTTCCTTTTGCATTTCCCTATCTAATAGTACACGTATTGCCTATTTGTGTTTCCTCTTCTGGAAATTACTTTTTCCATCCATTGCTCACTGTTTTCCTATTGAACTATTTATCTTTTCTTGTATGCTTGTAAGAGCACCTTGTCTTAGTGATATGAATGTGATATAATGAATGTTTAATGATATGAATGTCTTAGAAATATGAATATTTTCCTTGTTTATGATGTCTTTTTCCATGTAGACATTTTGAGCTTTTATATACTTGAATCTTATCAGATTTTTTATGGTTTCCAAGCTTCCAGTCTTTCTTCAAAAGGTCTCCTACCCCTAAGATTATATGGATATTTTCCCATATATTTTTTACTTTGCTTCTATAATTTTATTTTTACATTTCAATTAGTCAATTAAAATTTTAATTTAGAAACTATTAATAGTTCCACGAAAGGTGTTTTTGTGTGTGTGTTCTAATTATATCAATTTAAGACCTCTCACTGTGTTTTCATTACAGTCCTCTTTTTTTCATTCATTCTGCCCCAGTAAAAGCTGAATTTTCTGTTTCTTCAATTTAGTTTTGTTCCCTTGCTGCCATTAGAAGATTGTGTTTTTTGTTTGTTTGTTTGTTTGTTTACCTACTAATGGTGACCCCCATCTGGGTCAAGCTGTGGAGTTCTCTGGCACTGGAGAACCTACAAGAGGCAAAGGATGCAGTGGGAGTGCTGATTACCATGGCAGGTGGCAAACCTGACACAGACACCTCTCCCCAGGTTCAGGGGGAGAGGTGTCTGTGTTCTTAGGCCTTTCCAGGTACAGGCAGGGGATGGGGAGCAGTCCTCTCCTAAGTAGGTCACCCTTCAGTGCAGGCTTTGTCCAGGTCTGAGTTTCAAGCTCCCATTTTCCCAGATTCCTTTTCACTGGGCACTTTGAAATATCGAAAGAAGCTCAGTTATCTCCAGTCCTACCTGCACAAACTTCTAAATTGGGGTTCCTATAGTCCCCATTTAAGGAATGCTATGTGTGGATGCTACCCTAAGCTAGATGCTTTGGAAGAGTTGATGTGTCAGTGACTATTTGAATGAGGGTTCCATGTAGTTAGTTGGAAGGCTAAATAGTACAACTTGCCTGAAGCTGCCAGCTTTGTTTGGGGGGTGGGGGTTGTGGGATGGAGTCTTACTCTGTCACCTAGGCTGGTGGTGCAATTTCAGCTAACCACAACCTCTGCCTCCTGGGTTCAAGCAATTCTTCTGCCTCAGCCTCCCGAATAGCTGGGACTACAGGCATGCACCACCATGCCTGTCTAATTTTGGGAGTTTTTCTTTTTGTATGTGTATTTTTAGTAGAGATGGGGTTTTGCTGTGTTGGCCAGGCTGGTCTTGAATTCCTGACCTCAAGTGATCTGCCCGCCTCGACCTCCCAAAGTGCTGCGATTACAGGCGTGAGCCACCATGCCTGGCCTCTGCCAGCTTTTTATATTTATTACTTCATATACTTTTTAATCTGTCTAAAACCAATATTGCCTTTCTCTTTTTAGATACAAGAAAGGTTTGATTTGTATTTTAATACTTCAAATTGTCCAATCTTCATCATTCTGAGGTAGATCATAAGGGAACTTTCACTAATTTAGCACTGAGTTCAACCAAGAAGAATTTCAGGACAATCTGTATTCCAAAGCCAAGTGGCAATGTCTTCTGACCTTATAACTGAGAACCACAGAGAGGGTTTTGTTTTGTTTTGTTTTTTACCAGGTCTGTAATGAAGGAATGCTTAGTCAGGCTGGGGAACCATCACCATTCTTCCTGGGAGACAATACCAGATGTCAAGATCTGTCTTGTTTGTATAGAACTTCGCAAACCACACTGAGGCTCTTTATTGAATAAAGTTCCCACCATCCTATGACATAGATAGGGCAGATATTCCTAGTCCAATTTTGTACATATGAGAAACTGAGGCTCAGAGATCTCAACTAAATTGACTCAGATCACATAACAAATAAGCTGACAGCTAGGACCTTACTTAACTCAAATTCAGTTGATTTGAAAACCACCTGCCATTTTGTTGAAAACAATCTCTCATATTCATACATCTACTTATTTGAATAGTGCTGACTGAGTGGCCATGATATGCCAAGAACTATTCTTGGGGCCAATTAAAACACATGTAGTATTTTACAGTCAAAACCTTTTCACATGCCTTATCTCAAATACTGTTTTCTACTAATGACAGTTTCGCCTCTCCACTGGAATGTATAACTGTAAGTGGAAGTATTTGTATGAGTGAGAGGTACATTTCCTCTTATAAATGTGGAAAAATTGAAGCATGCCTGTGTGAAGCATCTATCTTTCAAGAGCTCAGCATAACACAGAATATATTTTGCTTGCAAATGAGTTGTATTCTCCATTTCTCTCCACCAGACCATATGGCCTTCATTGTTTTATTTGTTCATTAAGTCTCAGAACACCTGTGAACATAGTTAATAACAGTTTGGCATTTTGTTAATTTTATCCCATAGAGAATGAATGTTCAGCCAATTCAGGAAAATTCATAAGCCAAAACTCAATACTTAATGAAAAAGCAGATTGGGTTGAACAAAATTTCTTTCTTGAAAACTCCCTAAATGATTTTTATTTCTTTCAGGTAATGAAAACTGTATAGAGGTACTTTTGGAGCAAAAATGTTTTCGCAAATTTATCGGTAATCCCTTTACTCCACTGCACTGTGCAATGTAAGTAGAAATGCTGAGAATTGATGGTATTGCTTTTATTATTTTAACTACACATAGAAAAGTTGCTTTTTAGGGGAAAAAAAGCTTTTAGATTACAGATAAGACTGAAATATTCCATTTTGCTGCTAAAGACAAGTAGATCTGGTAGCAAACATTAATGATTTTCCCAGAGCTATTTGTGGAGTGCCACAGTTCCAAAGGGACACACCTGCCACCCTAGGGAAATCTCATAAAGGGGTAGAGTGAGTGGTGCATTACACATGTGGAGAGCTCTTCAGGTATAACTCACATTCGTCTGCCAAATTCTAAAAATAAGTCAGAACTGACATTAGTATGCCTACAGATGGTGAGAAAGACATTTCACACTAGGACAACTTTTCATGTACTGAAATTCTTCATTTTTCATATGTTGTAAGTTTTTTTCTGATAAATTTAATTTTTGCCCCAGTCTCAATGGTGAGCAATTGTTCAGTAGATACAGTGACTTTAAGTCAGACTTCCATAGTCAGCCTGGGAGTCTTATGTTCAACAGGGCTTCCATGATTAGCCTGGGGGCCCAAGACCTGAGGATGCTTTGTCTTTACATTGTCTCTGGCCTTTATATGAAGCTGGGCCATTTGATTGGAGAGATATTGGAGGCATAAAATAGATCAATAAAGAAAGAGTAAGTGAAAAAGAGTCAGAAAAAATTTAAATCTAAAGGAAGCATGTTTATTCCACTTTGGTATCTCCAAAACACCTAACATGGTACCTTGTATAAGTGCAATAAACTTCTACTGGATATAGAGGTTCTAAAGTAATGCTAGGGGTTACCATTGGTTTCAATACCATAAGTGTATGCCATTGAAACATATACCACAAATATTAACGTTCGATTTTTTTAAAAATGCTTGAGAGTATCAAATATACAGTACATAGGAAGATGGGTTAGGAGGGGATACAATGTAAAAGAGTGAGATTGTTACATTAAAACCCATTTTTATTTTAGAATAAATGACCATGGGAATTGTGCATCATTGCTGCTTGGGGCCATAGATTCCAGTATCGTTAGTTGTAGAGATGACAAAGGCAGGTAAGTAACCCTAAAACGGCATGACTTTTATCTTGATGAATCTTAGTCTCTGCTTTGCAGTTGCAGAGTAGCCAAGCATCTATGTTTTTAATTGAAAAAATAATGGATAAGCATGGTTTTTCATATTTCAGAAGGGATATAATTAAAATAAATTTCCTTTTAGCCCAGAATCACCAGCCTCTTCCACAGAAAAAGCTACTATATACTGTTATTTACAATTTTTATGTTGTCCTAAATATTTTCTGTGCATACTTATAAACATGTATACATACATATGTGTATATGTGTGGATTCTTTTTGCACATGGTAGCATTCTATAACAATGCTCTACTTTTAGTATATCTTGGAGAACCTTCCATACCAAAATATATAGATTTATCATATTCTTTTTAAAGCTGCGTATTATTTCATTGAATGGATATGCTGTAATTTGCTCATCCTACCCTCTATTGAAGAACATTTAGGTAATTTCCAATATTTTGCTGTTTCAAAGTGTGGTAGAGTGAACATTCTCATATATGTGTCTGTACACATGACCAAGTGTATCTGAGAGATAAAGACCTAGAATTGGATTCCTTGGTTAAAGGGTTAATAGTTTTTAATTTTGATAAATAATGCCAAATTATCCTCTAAAAGAAATTAAGCATCCACAATGGATGATATGATGGGCTTTTAAATTTTTATTTTTAAAAAACCTATAGATTTAAGGATTAATTTTGAAAGTATCTGTCTCAAAAATAAAAGTAGACTCACTGGAATTTAAAGAGTCAGTAAAGACACTGATTTCATTATCAGGGCCAACACATACACCCCCTGAAATCTGGGGGATTCCAGTAACATAGGTGACTTTGGCGTCTGCTGTGGATGACCTTTAGGGGAAGGGGGCCTGATCCCTATGTCTATAAACTGAGAAGTTTTAAATCCTTAAGACAACACCATGTACATGTTTCTTGGGCAGTTACTAACGAGAATGAAGTTTAAAGGAAACTGAAGTGATACTTGTTTTAAATCTTTAGGACACCCCTTCACGCAGCAGCATTTGCTGATCATGTGGAGTGCTTGCAGCTTCTTCTGAGACACAATGCTCAAGTGAACACAGTAGATAATTCAGGGAAAACAGCACTGATGATGGCTGCAGAGAATGGGCAGGCAGGCGCTGTGGGTATGTGCTTGTTGTATGGACTTTACATTTATGCTCATCCAAAAACCAAAATAATGTAAAATCAAGAAATCAGTTGTTCTCATAGTATATACATGTGGAAAAGGGCCATTAGCAGTTTTACTTGGGTTACCTGTTTCTACCTGTTCGAGCATCTTCTGCTCCCTGTTTTTTGATTATTGGTGGACCTTGTCACAGAGCCCACCCATCTGCAGTGAAATTCTTAACATTTAGAAACCAAGTTTAAGAACAGAATCATTTTAAATGGAAATAATGAACTCTTAAAGCAGTTAAAATTAGTGCCTATTAACCTTGAATTTGGATAGCACAGATATGACAATAAATTACTCCCTTTTTTCTTTAAAAATATTAAATATGATTATGTGAGCTGTACTAATTTAAATATGTTATTATGTTTGTAGTAACTTCTTCAAAATGCATGTGATTAGCATCTCATCTAAGTAACCCTCTTTTGGGCTTTTTCTACAGATATTTTGGTGAACAGTGCCCAGGCTGATCTGACTGTAAAGGACAAGGACTTGAATACACCCTTACATTTGGCTTGTAGTAAAGTATGTAAATGAATTTAAAACATTACTACTTCATGCTGTAATAACGGTAATAATACCACTGAAATGCTATCTGAGAACTGGGTAGCATGGCTCTTAATTAAGATGTACATTTTTCCAGAGTCTTGTCAACTAAAAGTGGAATTGAAGGGTGAGAAGGAAAAGACAGACCCACTAGGTTGATGAAGATACGCTTCATCAACACGGATGATGCGGACATGCTTTTCAGGGAGCTTGCCACTTGCCTTCTTGCTGTAGTCTGTCTGTCTTGATACTGCCACTGTATCTGTCTCCCTGGTTGTTGTATCACATTTTGGTACCATATAAAAGTTAGGACGTTAGTTAGATGGCTTGTAAAGTATAAGCAGTTTTACTTGTTTTCCTTTCGTTGCATTTGAAGACACTGTAGTAACAGCCAAAAAATACTTTACTATGAAGCAAATAAATAGATCTATGTGTATTTCTACCCTCCCCCCTTTTTTCCGGTGTGTAATTCAATGCAAAGAATGTGTTGGTTTTTTTTTCAAATAGAAATGTGTTCACATGTTGCTCAAGATTCCTTCTTCCATAAAAGATAAAATATATATATATATATATATATATATAATTTACATATATTTATTTTTAAAATTATATATAATTATATATATATAAATATATATATAAATATATATTTATATATATTTATAAATATATAATTATATATATATAATTATATATATATAATTTATCTTTTTATATCATATATGATTTTATAAAACTTGGTTTTGTTGCTGAATAGTATATTATGAATGTCTTTTAGACATCATGATTTATGGTATTTTAGAAGATATGTAGTATTTCAGCTTAGAAATGGGCCATCCTTCATTCAACCCATCTGCTATTATTAGACATATAACTCATTTTCAATTATATGTGAGTACAAGTTCAGTATCTCTTATCTGAATGCCTGGGACTAGAAAGTGTTTTGGATTTAGGAATTTTTTGGATTTTGGAATATTTGCATTATGCCTGTTGATTATTCCAAATCCAAAAATCTGAGTGTCATGTCAATATTCAAAAAGTTTTGGATTTTATAGCATTTTTGATTTCAGATTTTTGAATTTGGGATGCTCAATCTGTATAAATAATGCTTATTGAAGAGAAATCTTTTATAAACATCCTTACTCATTTCTTTAAGATAAATTCCTAAGTGTGGAATTATTGAGTCTAAGGATCTAAAGATACATATTTTTTTTCTGAGATGGAGTCTTAATCTGTTGTCAAGGCTGGAGTGCAGTGGTGCAATCTCAGCCCACTACAACCTCTGCCTCCTGGGTTTAAGCGATTCTCCTGCCTCAGCCCCCTGACTAGCTGGGACTACAGGTGTGTACCATCATGCCTGGCAAATTTTTGAATTTTTTTAGTAGAGATGGGGTTTCACTATTCTGGCCAGGCTGGTCTCAAACTCCTGACCTTGTGATCCGCCTGCCTCAGCCTCCCAAAGTGTTAGAATTACAGGTGTGAGCCACCACACCCAGCCTGATATAAATATTTTTAGACCAACTTGCCCTCTTATGAGTTCACAACAGTTTATACTCCAACAGCAGTGCCTCAGAATAAAACCTCCATGGACATTTCTAAAATTATATTTAATGGTCTCCCATGTAAAGTATTATAGTATGAAGTCAGTTAGCACCCATGGCGGCGGTTGATTTCAATGTAGTTAAAATATTGTCGTGTTACCTATATGGTGCCAGAAGTCTCAGCCATTCCTTTCATTGCTTGCATTTTCTCACTTCATGCTCTGGGAAGCCCATGGGAACCACAAAAAGTACTCAGCTTTATGAAGTTTATTTCAAGGTATAGTATTTTGGTGAATATAAGTGCAATGCTTTTTAAACTTGATCATGCAAATGAATCACCTGGGAATTTTGTGAAAAAACAGATTCTGATTTATTAGGTCTGGGGCAGAGCTTGAGATTCAGCAGTTCTAACTCCCAGTAATACTAATGCAGGCCACATGTTGATTAGCGAAGGCTTAGGAAGCCGTGACCCCTTAAAAGGGTATCAGGCCTGAAAATGTGAAGGGGTCTCTGACTCATCAGTTGATTTTCAAAAATTATTAACCATCTAATTTTCATAAGGTACAGAGAGATATTTCTACTGGTTGAGGAAGAAAAGAATGTGTTTCCCTGAAATAGGGTTTCTTTACAATATAAGGCAATTAATGATGATGAGTGATACAGATAATAGAAGTAATAGGAATTCCGAGGATAAATGGATCACTGAAATAGTAACTGATATCTTGAAATAGGAGTCAGTATGGGACTTTTGAGGTATGTTAAATGTTGAAAGATTCAAACAATATTCCTAATTCTACTCCCTACTTACCAGCTGACCTAGCTAAACTAGCATCTGCTTTAGCTCTCTGAGCATTAATTTTTAAATTTATCTTAGCAATATTAATATTTTGGATCAGACTTACGTTAACCAAGTTCTAATAGACCTTATTAGGACTCTTACAGTGTCTGGAGCCCATTTGCTATTAAGAAGAAAAAAATGACTCAGAAAATAACCCTACAGAATGTTGTAAGGCAGAGGAAATTCATTTTCAATTTAAATTACAATGAAGAAATTTTTCAGTAACTTTTCTGTGTCTCTGTCCCATATTTCTTATCATCCTTTTTCTTTATTAGGGTCATGAAAAATGTGCCTTGTTAATACTTGACAAGATACAAGATGAGAGCCTTATTAATGCAAAAAATAATGCACTGCAGACGTAAGTGTAACTACTAATGTTGGACTTGAACCCCGAGTCATAGTCATTTATTCTACAAATATAAAGAGGCTGCTATCTGCCAGACTAGCTCTGGGGAGCACAGTGGTGAAAGATGCAGACCTGGCTTCCCCTGCATGAAGGTGACAGTCACATACCTATAAGTGCTGACCAAGCTAGGCAATTTTAGTTAGAAGCTTTCTTTTGATATGTCTTCATAGAACTTTGTGAGGTCTGTGTTTCTCTTTGCTGATATTTCTGGGGCAATATTATAAATTTAGTGGGCTGTTAGAAAAATCTTATGGACTGACATATTTGGGGAAACTATTTATATTATGTATTAGCATTATGTATTCTGACTGGAAAATGACAGTTTTACAAATCAGGTTCCCAGAATACATTTGAAGAGTTTCTAAGCTATTTGTCTTGATTATATTTTAATAGAATTCAGTGTAACCCTCGGCGTGAAAGATCTAAAAGCTGTTTCATTTTCCGCTTTAGGAAATTATTTATGCATTTGTTTTAAAGGCAAAGGAATTTTTTTCATTTAAGATTCTTAAGCTGGGCATAGTGGCTCATGCCTGTAATCTCAGCACTTTGGGAGGCCAAGGCAGATAGATTACTTAAGGCCAGGAATTCATGACCAGCCTGGCCAATATGTTGGAACCCCATCTCTACTAAAAATACAAAAAAAAAAAAATAGCTGGGCGTGGTGGTGGGCACCTGTAATCTCAGCTAATTGGGAGGCTAAGGCAGGAGAATCACTTGAACCTGGGAGGTGGAGGTTGCAGTGAGCTGAGATTGTGCCACTGCACTCCAGCCTGGGCAACAAGAGTGAGACTCTGTCTCAAAGAAGAAGATTGTTGGCTGGGTATAATGGCTCATGCCTGTAATCCCAGCACTTTGGGAGTCTGAGGCAGGCAGATCACTTGACCACAGGAGTTTGAGACCAGCCTGGCCAACATGATGAAACCCCTTCTCTACACAAAATTTAAAAAACTAGCCAGCCATGGTGGTTTGCACCGGTACTCCCAGCTACTCAGGAGACTGAAGCCGGAGGATCACTTGAGCCCAGCAAGAGGTCAAGACTGCAGTGAGCTATGATCGTGCCACTGCGCTCCAGCCTGGGTGACAGAGTGAGACCTGTCCCCCCCACCCCCCGCCAAAAAAAAAGGATTCTTATGCAGTTTATAGCACAATATACTGAGTTTGACATAATTCTTTTTTTTTTCTTTTGAGACAGAGTCTTGCTCTCTCACCCAGGCTGCAGTGCAGTGGCACTATCTCGGCTCACTGCAATCTCTGTCTCCAGGGTTCAAGTGATGCTCCTGCCTCCGCCTCCCAAGTAGCTGGGATTACAGGCACCTGCCACCATGCCCAGCTAATTTCTGTATTTTTAGTAGAGTCAGGGTTTCACTGTGTTGGCCAGTTTGGTCTCAATCTCCTGACCTCAGGTGATCTGCCCTCCTCAGCCTCCCAAAGTGTTGGAATTACAGGCATGAGCCACCATGCCCAGCCGACATAATTCTTTAAGGTATTATAAATTCAGTAAAGCATCTGTGTGCATTTAGTAGTAAGAAGGAGGTTTGAGATTAAACACATATATGGGTGACATTAATACCAGTCATATTATTGAACTATGTGAAACAGTGATTCAAATTCTGTTAGAAATCAAGCAGTAAAAAACCTGCAAAACACACCAAACTTGAGTTCTTCCTCTATCTTCCTATTTACTGTCACTGAGATTGTTTGAGAGGCAGCAAGATCTGGGCCAAACATACAAGAACAGTTGGATCAGTAGAACCTGGAAAGATCTAGTCAGCAATTTTTTTGTTTTAAAGTAAAAACATCCATATACTAGTTGTGGATTCTTAAGTATTTCTTCCTCTTTGTGATATGGGCCAACAAAAATGCCACATTCTCACCCAAATATGTACCACAATTGATGCTCGGTCTTGTGTTTTTCAGACCCCTCCATGTTGCTGCGCGCAATGGCTTGAAGGTGGTAGTTGAGGAGTTGCTGGCAAAAGGGGCCTGTGTACTTGCTGTGGATGAAAATGGTAAGTCGAAAAAGTCAACAGCGACTGCAGGTACCTCCCATAAGCTAGTTGAAGCCAGAGGAAAATGAGAAACATAGGAGCTAGTTTAAAAGGCAGTTAAGAATTCTGTCCCCCTTGGAAGTCCCATGTGTGTGAGAAATGAAGCAAGGATAACTTGTCCCGTCTGTCTTTTTGTAAATCACATAGTCTACCTGTAGCCCACCATTGCTGTCCATTTTGCATGTAATGCCAGCAGCTGGTCTCTAACTCCTCAGCACTGTGGTTAAAATATTTTAGACACACTAAAAGGGTTTCAAGTTGGCATTCGAAATTTTCACTGCAAATGCTGAAGAGTTAGGGATTACACATGTCATTAGTGCATGCTCAAGGACTCAAATAAAAACCTAGATCTTTGAGTGTATTTAAGTTCATTCTGAGATCAAGTTTTTTTTTTTTTTTTTTTTTTTTTTTTTTTTTTTTTTTTTTTTTTTTTTTTTTTTTTACTTTAAGTACAGATCAGAACTCATATTCCCAGTATGGAAATTTGAGGAACGAGAGTAAAATTTCTTAATTAATGTCTAGGACCGAAGCTTCCCCTGATTTGTATAATGTTCCTTTTCTAATGAACTAAATCTTAACAGAAGCTTTCTACTCTGCTTCCTAAGAAATTTTGAAAGCAAATAGCCACTAGAATTGTACTAAACTGTCATTTTAAGCACAATGCCTATTAACCTTGGGGAGCAAAAAAGGAACTTCTGGATATTTATGTAATTTTTTAAATATGGCATTTAATTAAAGTATTATAATGTGTTAATGTAACTCAACTGCTTATTACAGGTATTGGAATTAGCAGCTCATGCCTATTTCTCAGAAGTAAGCAGCCATATTGACATCATTAGCTAACTCTTATTAGTTTGATTTTGCAGCCCCATTTATCCTAGCATGTACCCTGCTCTGTCCCCCACCTGATTCATCTAGGAAGTGCAGAAAGTTCTCTTTTACTCCATCTCCTTGGTTTTCCGCCTCACCTTCCCTCACCCTATTATCGTTACTGTAGACTTAGGGTTGGCATGCAGAGGCCCACAGGTTTTCTCCAAAATGGTCAAAGAGAATAGAATAAATTAGTTTTGCTTTTCCTTGGTACAAATCTGCTGCATTGAAGGTTTGTTCAGCTGATAGCAACCTTAGGAACAAGAGCCTTGGGTTGGTGCGGACCAGCATCCCAAAGGCCTGGGAACATTTGGGGCAATTTTGTACAGCAGTGCAACCGTAATTCCTTTACTCATCCCTGACCTTTGTGAATGGAATGTTAAACTACCTGTCCATTCTCATTTGTTTGAGAAAAAGGAATGATATCCAAAAGGGCAGGATGGGGAGAGCAGGTAATGATAAACAAAACAACAAAATGTTGAGTTTTATTGAGCCATTCCTCTGAATGACTGAGCGAGTGCCCTACTCACTGCGTAGTGGGAACATTGGCCAGCCAAGAAGGCAGCTAACCCTTTCAGGCTAATAGAATAAAGGCTGGATAAGGGAAATAATCAACTCAAAGACTTAACCTGCCTCCCCAAAGAGCCTGTATTATGAGTTAAGACAGTTTTCTTATCTGGACTGGACCCACTGAGTCAAAATGGTAGAGAATAACATGGTTCTAGTTATAACAAGCATAGTAATTTTCTCACATCCATAACATTTTAGATTTGGGACTTTGGTTGGTGAGTGGCCATTTTTAAATATTCTGTTAGGCCAGGTGTGATGGCTCATGCCTATAATCCCAGGACTTTGAGAAGCCAAGGTCAGAGGATCGCTTGACCCAGGAGTTAAACAGCAGCCTAGGAAACATAGCAAGAACTCGACTGTATTAAAAAAAAAAAAATCAGCCCGACATAGTAGCACACATCTACAGTCCCAGCTACTTGGGAGGCTGAGGTGGGAGGATTGCCTGAGCCCAGAAGACAAGGCTTCAGTGAGATCAAGGCCCATGCCACTACAATCCAGCCTGGGCAACAGAGTAAAACCCCGTCAAAAAAAAAAAACAAAAAAACAAAACAATTGGTAAATTTCTCCTAAATGATAGTAAATTTTTAATTACAAACAAAGTGCTTTCCTGTGTCTGATCTACTGAAATGATTCCATTTTTCTAAAACCAATTATTGGTGTCTTCTTTCTAGGAAGCATGTATGAAATGGCAAAGCTTCATTATTCACTTTTGCAGTCATCTAATTTTCAATACCTTTTCTAATTGGACACACAATTACCTAACAATGGAAAGTCATTGTTCTCAGAATGAGAGTCCTTCTCAGGCCCAGGCCTGAGGCTCATGGTGTGCGTGTGCTCTCAGGCAGAAACATCTTCCTGATTGTCCTGTTGCTGTTTATTGTGGAATTGTGTCCCACACCCACCCCCTCGTGTTTCTGTTCACTAAATGAAGGCTGGAATCCTGCCTAACTGGATAATATCGTGCTTGTCATAGTCATATGAGCTGAAAACAAAAATAAAAAGCCCTCCATAAAATGTCTCCCCCTCCCTCTCCCCTCTAGCCTCACCCCTAGCATGACTTGTGAGAAGTAACCCTCCTTTTATCTGGCATGATTTCTAACTCAACATACATCTCCACCTGTGAGATCATCCGAGATGTACTGTGGAATGTTCGTGCCTCCTCTAGACTCCCCAGGACTAACCACTGCCTTGTCTGCATTTACGCCCAGGTCATACCCCGGCCCTGGCTTGTGCTCCTAACAAAGACGTGGCCGACTGCCTGGCCCTCATTTTGGCTACCATGATGCCTTTTTCTCCTTCCAGTACAATGACGGCCGTCAACTTCGTTTGTTTAAAAAAAGACAATTTGAGCAGGACGACCCTCTCCAATCTGGGTAGCATGGTTAGCCTGTGCAGTAACAACATAGGCTCAGAGGATGGGTACAATGAAAATGATTCTGATTCGGAAACGTTTTGACTTTGGACTGTAGAAGCTTTTCCTTGATCACCGGTGTTGGAGGAAGGGAAAGAAGCTTGAATTCCAGGTTCATGTTGTATTCAAGTATTATTTGGGGCCTGGGCTTCCAGAAGTTAGTAGAGAAGGAATTAACTGAGGGAGGGCAGTGAGGCTGTTGGGTGGAACACTCACACAGATGGCCTCAGTTTGGTTTTGTTTCACATTTTCTTTAGATCTAAGATACATCTGTGAAAGTCTACCTCTCATTTTCAGTAAAGAATAAAAGATATATTTAATTCCTGTTCTTCAGGGATAATGCAACAGAGAGGCAGCTGTTCACTATGAATAATTTTTCTTTTCATGTATTTAGCAGTGAGTTCTCAGAAGTCTATCAGTGTGACATTCATGTCCCCGGGGAGGGAAGGGAAGAGGTAGATAGGAAATGCCTCAAACCTTTTCTCACTTTGATGTTTACTTCCTCACTAGAAGCCAAAGGTAAAGGTGTTCATCTTCAGAAATAATGCCTGTAATAATCTTTTTAGAGAGTCCAACTGTTTATATCCTCTCTATAGTAAGCATTTAAATATCCAGAACTTCTTTCTGAGGATCTCTGTTAAAGTTGCTAGATTAATTGAAAAACTGAACTTGCTTTTTTTGTTTAACACAGTGTTCCCTATAACAAGCCTGTGACTAATTTTCACTTAAGTGATTGAACCCAAATTTATCTAATAACATTTCAGGTGAATTGATATTGCACAGAACTTTGACACAATATGCAAAATTAACATGAAACTACCCTTTGTTAATTCCCTCTTAAATCAAAATACTAACTTTTTTAAAACATCAGAATCATCAGCGTTGTTCATCAGTAGTAAACTGAGCTTCTCAGTCAAGGTCATGCCATGTGAGTGAAAAGTGTGACTGCAAAAAGAAATACAAAAGTGAAAGCAGAAAGGAGAAATGAGTGATTTAGAATGTAAAGCCAATTGCCAGTTGCTTGATGATGAAATCAACGTAGTGAATACTGTGTCTGCTCCCTCTGCCAAAGCTTCTAGGTCAAATGGACCCCGTTCCACACCTGGAACAGCTATACAAAAAGAAGAATGAGACTCTTTAAAAATTATGCACATGTACACACACACATATATGTGTGCATGTATATATATATACATATATGTGTGTGTGTGTGTATGTAGTTCATCAGCCCAGCTACACATGAGGACCAAAATGCTTCAGTCTAAAATGGAAGATTTACATTTTTTTCCTTCAAAATGCAAGTGAGAACTGAAGTAGCTTTTCTATGGAGTTAAAATGTAATCTTTTTGTGTACCAGTCTTTGTTGTATTTTATATTTCTTATGACACAGATTTCTAGTTGACAGCTTAACATTTGTAACTGATGATGTGTTGACCATGGGTTTTTGTTTTGTTTTGTTTTTTGCTAAACTAGAGAAAATGTCCATATACTTTTGATGTAAATGTGTTTATATTTATTTGAAATGAAACAAATGGCAAGGAAACATCCATTATTTGTTCTCTATTTTAATTGCTATGTATCTTATTTAGAATAACAAAAGTGGAAAAACACATTTGACCCTGGGCTAGCCAAAAGCCCTAAGGCCAACCCAGCATTTCCACTGCTAAGGTTTCTAGCTGACCCTCAGGTTCTTCCACGTTGGTTAGAGAGGGCTACCACAGTTGGTAGCCAGTTGAGTTTAGAAGACCTTGCAGTCTGGATGCTCTTCTGTGAGCTAAAAACTCAAATGTGTAGTGGATCATATACACAAAGGCAGCCCAAAGAAATATCCAGAAATTACCCTAAGTACACTGAAAAGCTCACATAGTCTCAGTAACCTAATGGGAAATGATGGCAGTGTGTGGGCACATGTGCCAAGAGGAGAAATAAAAATCACCAGCTCAAGTGCAATTTTCTACTTGAGGAAGAGACAGGAAAAAAATGTGCTTAGAGCAGGACTCTCTGACATTTTATGAGTTCCATTTCCACCCTGGAAATTTCTGTTTTATAGTATATGTGAGATATTTCAAAAATAGTGTTCTATCGTATCTGGATCAAAGACAGATAACTGTATTATATTTTTCATCTAGCTGTAAAACTTTAATCTTACTTAATATCCTGGATTTAATTAAAACTCCTGTTGGGTTCTTCAGAAATGAGAACTTGTTCAAAGGAATTAATTTCGCTGAAAATTTCCCACACCACCACCATTGTTTTTTGAACTGGTATTAATTTCGCTGAAAATTTCCCACACCACCACCATTGTTTTTTGAATTCTTGGTGGTGTGCTCCCCTCTTCTATCCTTTTTGTTTGTTTACAGAAGATGAATTTATAAAAAGCTGATAAATTGCTAATGAGCAATAATGACCCTATCTTTACCAAAACACTGAAAATTAAGAGTGATCCAGTGTTGAAAAAGCACAATATACTGCGGTGTCTTTTTCTAGAAGTGAATGGAAATCTTGCTCAGTTGGCATTTCAAGCAGGAAATGAAATGCCTGCTTTAATGGCAAAGCAGCGTTAACATTTTTCCTGTCAAGTAGCAGAGTACAAGGATCCTTTCAGCAAAGCAGTGACTCACCATGAGACGTTATCTCCATGGAGCTGCGTTTTGACTTTTTCCTACTGTCTTACTCATAGAAGGAGGACAAAGGAACAAAATGAAATCATGCTCACAGCAAACTGTTCATTACATCAATTGATATCTCTCTCTTTCTCGCTTTCTTTCTTCCTTCCCCCAAGACTAAATTTTTTTTTTAAGAAGTGACTTTAAAAACTATCATTTCTGTGTTTTAATGACATCTCTTAGAAATAAAATTATGTTTGCACCACAGCTTTCTAAGAAAAAACAAGATGTGTTTTTACCTGAGTCTTAGTTGCTTAGTGCTTTTACTTGTTATTTTTAGACTGTATTTTAACCACAGCCACAGGGATCATGTTTCATTGCACTTACTTATTTGCCAGTGTCTGCCTGTCTTTGGTAAATGCATTACTATCTCCAAATTGCCTAAAATCTGCTATGATTCTACAGTAAACAGCTCAGGGGATTTCTATTTATCACTACTAAAAGGGCACCATACTATGTTTTGGTACTTTAGGCAGTGAACACTGCTTATCATTTTATTATTAAATTAGAACAAGAACATCAAATGGATTTGCTGCACTAGTTATTCTTTGTACTGTTGAGCGACTTGCTGTGCTTATATGTTGTGTTGGTTGAAGAACTCATCCCTTTTTTGTCTTGTAATATGAAGTTAGAGTGCCTTTTTATATTTGTATATTCTGAAAATGTTCTGCGGAATGTTTTGTATTTTTTCATTTGAGTGTTATCAGAGCAATATGATACCAGTGAGTTTTCATTTCAACCTTTCTTTGAATGTATAAAGTGTTTTTTTTTCCTGTTTCCCCTTTTACTTGCATTGAAATGAATATGAAAATGCTAAAGTTTTCTATAGGAATTTTTTGATTTTGCAGTGCTAAAATGCTTTCTTCTTACAAAACTGTAAACCATAGGTCAGTATTATAGGGGAAAAGCGTTTTAAGATAGTGACAATCTGAGTGTTTGTATAAAATGTAATTCTATGCGTTTCTTATGCAGTGATCTAAAAATTCAATGCAAATATCTTTTATTTGGTAGTTTTGTCTACATATTTTATGCTTTAGCATGTGCAATATATCTTTGCAAAGCACGATGATACAAATCTGGTGCCAGTGTTATATTTTGCATAACATATTTGTAACAGCATAAAATACTGTTTGATGACTTCAGTGGGATTTTGTCTATAATGTTTTCCTATGTAAATTGGAGTTGAATGACTCTGGTAAATGTCAGGACTGTAAAAATGGGGAAAATGACTTTTAGTTCAGTGAATGACTTTGAACCAGTCTGAGTCGTCTCAAGCACAGTTTAATACTTTTACAACTACTGAATGCTCTAATAAGGTAATGAAGTACTTAACTGTAATATACTATGGAAATGCATTCAGATGGTTATTTTTACAAATAAAAACGGTACAAATATTGCAATTTGTGTTTTCTTTAATTTTTCCAATTTATGCTTTTTCTAAATTATGCTAATTTAAATCTTTGGCCCCCAAGCCAAATTAACTTTACATTTAGAAAATAATCAAGATAAAAGTGTATCTCCAGATTCATGATTTATGTTTGTATTATCATAATTAGAGAAAAAATTCAAACATATATGCTTGTGTTTATTATATTTTCTTACACTTCCAACTTTTTCCATAAAGGGTTTTGTTTTGTTTAGTTTTCTGCTCTGTTGCCCAGGCTGAAGGGCAGTGGTAAGATCTCGGCTCACTGCAGCCTCAACCTCCTAGGCTGAAGTAATCCTCCTACCTCAGCCTCCCGAGTAGCTGGGACTACAGGTATGTACCACCATGCTTGGCTAATTTTGTTTTTTTTTTTACAAAGATGGGATCTCATTATGTTGCCCAGTCTAGTCCATAACGGATTTGAGCTGGCTTATGACAAAAGATGTGATAAACTAGAAGAAAAATGAGAACAGAGAAAAAGAATGCAAACAGAGACAGGAACCATAAAATTTAAAACAGTGTCTGTGACTGAACTTCAGTTTGCTCTCAGCTTCCCTGCAACCAGGGTAAGAAGAGAAATATGATCAGTTATATAGTTCACATATGTCAAAAAGGAAGAAGCTTATCAGGTCCTCAAAATCGTGAAATCAACCATGCCTATCTTTGGTACCGTCACCACTACCCTTCAGGGACTTCATAGCAACACAAAAACCTCCGTCTCTGCACTATCCTTAAAAGTATCCACAGAATTTCCTTCCCTATCTATCTCGCCATCCAGAATTTTTCATCTTGAGTAGTAACTTCAGAGACAGTCCCTGGAAGCACTAAGGAACAAATTCCTAATGATGGAGTTTCCAGCTATTGACTAAGAGATTTGGGGGTGATGCCTGCCTGAGTTCCTCAAATCAAGCATTATAGAATGTTAGCAGTTCTAACAGTCCAGCCCAATCATATCACCAGCTCTTTCAGGAAGAAACTGAATCCTAGAGAAGTTATACAACTTGAATTTTTGTAGATAGTGATCTGATGATACAACATCTGCCTCTAGATGGTCTCTCTTCGATGCCATCTTGCCATATAATGTTTTGTTTTTTTCTGCCAGAAATCTTCAGGAAGGTTTTGTACCCAACCCTGCCTCCCTCCTTATTCAAATACACAAATCTGGGTGTTTCTCGGTTTTAAAGATTGTAAAGCCAGAATCACACCACGAGTGCTTCCTGTTGTTTAGAGCAGACTGGGTATATTAGTTATCTATTGCTGTGTAACAAATTACCCCAAAACTTAGTACCTTAAAACAACAACTGTTTCCTAACTCACAGTTTCTGTGAGTCAGCCCTAGTTTAGCTGGGTCTTCTGCTCTAGGGTTTCTCACAGGCTGTGATCATGGTGTTGGCCCGGAACGATCCATTTCTAAGCTTACTTCTATGGTTGCTGGCAGTATTCTTCTCGTGGGTTGTTAGACTGAAGTCCTCAGTTCCTTGATGGCTATTGGCTGCCCACCGTTTCTTGCCAGATGGGCCTTTCCGAAGGGAAGCTGACAACATGGCAGCTTGCCTTGAGGGTGAGCATGCTGAGAAAAGTCGGAGAGGGAGGGAGCAAGACAAAGTCACAGGTTTTTGCAACTGAATTTCAGAAGTGATACTTGATCATTTTTCTCATATTCTATTCATGAGAAGCAAGTTACTCGGTCCAATCTACACTCAAGGGCAAGGGATTCCCCAAGGGTGTGAACAGCAGGAATAGCAATCACTAGGAGCCATTTTTGGAAGCTAGTCACCACCCTGGTCTATCACAGTGTCCTTTGAGGCTGTAACAACGCACTAATATACCTTCTTCCCAGTTATTGATAAGAAAATTGCTTGCTTGACTTCCTGAACTCACCCTTTCAAAGAAAATGTAGAGATCCCTAATTTTAATTGTGCTCTCATAAGCAAAGAAAGATGACAATGGCCTCCACTGCAGTAATTATATTTTTGAACATTGATGTGGCACCTTGTCTCCAAACTGCTTGTCAAAGGATCCTTGTCGCTAATTCCATTTGGTAGGTTTAGATCCCTGTATATCTATCTCTCACTTACCACATTTAATGTGTTCCAAAATTAACTTGCAAAGCACAAAAGCATTAAGCTAAAAGGCTGTTAACATAAAAACATTGTGGGTAAAAGTACTGTATGAACTGTCTCTTTAGCAGATTTCATCCTGAAGGTACATTTGCTGTAAAATGTAAAGCACCAAGATAATGGCTGTGCCATTCATTCATTCTCAGGCATTCTTGGGAGTGATTGGAAATGTGTGGGCATTTGTGGTTGGCACAATGGCTGGAGGGTGGGCAGGGTTGCTACTAGTATTTTTGGTTCTAAGGGCCAGGGAGACCAAATATGCCACTCAGCCTGGAGAACAACTGCATCATCCACAATGTCAATGCTCCTCTACCCCACTGTTCGCCTATTTGCCTTCCTCTTGTTTCTGAATCATTTCCTCATCAATGTATTGCTTGTGATGCCAGCCATATTTCCTTATCTATTTTCACAAGGGATTGCATAAACATACATCATGTGCCCTCCGAACGAGAACTTACAAGGTTGAGAAGAACTTTAGAAGGCACTGCTGAGCACGTGTGCCCTGGTTATGTATTTTTCCAGGGGAGAAGATTTGCACAGATCAAGACATTTTTAATTCCCTTATGATCAAACCAAAAATGTGGGCATACACATGTGAATTTCTTGTCTTAGGCAAGAGGTGATTGTATCTACTTTCCCGGTGCGGGGCACTCCTGCTCACAAAGAGGGGCACTTGGCCCAGTGACATGGCAAGCTCTGGCAACACAGTACTTCAGCCTCACAGGGTTCTCTAGGCACTGGTGGACACAATTTCTAGGATACCATTTTCTACTTTTAAATGACAATTTAATGAAGTACAGTGTATTTTAATTCTGGAAGAATTTTATCATTTTCAAAAGTAAAAATGCTGAAGAAATACTTTCAGAGCACAAAAAGCTTACTGCATATTTTTTTCAGTATTGACAGATGAGAGGAGGTTCCCTCAGGAATGAATGGTAGAGAGAAGAGCCCGGAACTGTGGACACTCCAACATTTAGAGGTTAGGAAGAGGAGGAGGAGGCTCTAGCAGAGAAGACAAGACATAATGGTCAGAGGCAGGAGGAAAACCAAGAGACCAAGATGTCCCTGAAGCCTGGGAAAGAAAGGGTCACAGAAGTGTCAGTTATCTCTATTGTCTCAGTTGCTTCTGGGAAGTCAAATGCAGAGAAGCTGACCAATGGATTTGGCAACATAGAGTTTATTGATGACCTTTCCAAGAACATATAAATCAGAATGGTTGGGGCAACAGTCTAAAGGTGGTAGGTTGAGGAGAGAGAGGGAAGGGAGAAGAAAGGAAGAAAAATGAGGTGGTAACTGGAGGAGGATGTGGAGAACAGGAAGGGTATTTGTTTTTTAAGATAGATGTTGTAGCATACTGATGCTGGGAGTGGAAGGAGTTGCCTGGGAGAGAGCAAGAAGGCTGACAAGGGATGGGAGGGTAATTTTGGAGAGAATATTTTGTTGTTGTTGTTGTTGTTGAGATGGGGTCTCACTCCATAGCCCAGGCTGGAGTGTAGTGGCATGACACTGGCTCATGGCAACCTCCCTCTCCTAGGTTCAAGCAATTCTCCTGCCTCAGCCTCCTGAGTAGCTGGGACTACAGGCACACGCCACCACTTGGGTAATTTTTTAAAAATTTTAGTAGATACAGGGTTTTGCCATATTGGCCAGGCTGGTCTCAAACTCCCAACCTCAAGTAATCCACCCCTCATGACCTCCCAAACTGCTGGGATTATAGGCATGAGGCACCATGCCCAGCATGAAGAGAACATTTTAGAGTAGCAGAGAAGGGTTGCTGAGGAGGATTTAGTACACTTGAGAGTTATGATCATAAATCTAAATGAAACCAGTCATCCTGGTGGATTTTTTCATCAGATGTTTGGGTGTAGGCACAGAGTAAGAAGACAGTAGAGTTTAACCTGGTATAGAGCTTTCCTAGTTAAGTCCAAAGGGAGAGAGGTTATGGAACTATGGTGCTTTCAATGGATGTGATTATATAGATCATGGATTCTAAACTGGGTAGGGAAGAAAGTCAAATCATGAGGGAGGAAATGGACATTGAAAAAGTAGTCGTCAATGGATTGAAGGTCATGATAAGACAGAATTGTTGAATTGTAGCCCCAGAGTTGGTGATCTGGATGTAGGGTGCTCAAAATAAAGATTTCACAGGTGGTACAGTTTTGATGATGACAAAGCAAAGGCTATAACCATGGGAGTGGGTGGTTGAGAATGACTGAAGAAAAAAAAGCATTGGAAGTGAAGAAATAAATAACAGGAGGCCAACATGACAAATGCGAAAAGCCATTTATTATAGCACTGGAGCAAAATAAATGAGAAAATTTAGCTACTTCAAAACATCTATTATTCAAGTATTTTACTTTAAGTAGGTAGATACTAAGAGCTGATTTACTGTCAGGCTGAAATTTGGTTCTAGGATTAGGATGAAGCGTTTAAAGAAGTAAAATGGTCAAGTGCATTTCTATTAAAAAACCAACCAGACTTTGGCTATAACAGAATGACAGGTTTTGTGACCATATGGTTTAACCTAAATGTGTTTATGAGGCTCTCCAGAAAACATGACAGATGGTGAAGAGCTGCAGAATGAACAAAAGAAGAGTGTGGCTCAGACAACGTCTTAGTGATAACAATGAAAAATCGAATACTTCCCAGTGGGCCTTCTGCAGAGGACAAAACTAAAATTATTGGAATTCTATATTGCTGTTTAAGTGAAAATTAAATTTGCTTTAAAACATTAACTTTTCCTGAAAAATCTCAATTTCCAACTAAATAAATAGAAAGCTAACTCAGGTTTCTAATCCCTTTTGAATTTATTTTTTTCGGAAATGATTTCTTCATGCCGTGTTTTATTTCA